TTCTAGCAAATACATTTCTATTCCATTTACCATCCCCATATTCTGAGCAAACGTCCCTCTACCTAGTTGACATGTCATTTTCTGCATTGGCTCCCACAGCTTCCATTTGTTACTCCATCGTCCATGCTGATAATACGGCAGTGGCACCACGTAGCGTATGCGTAATATGACTGGTTGTAAGTAGTAAGAGGCCAGCAGCCTCACGTGCTGCATATAAATTGCTTCGTTTCAACATTTTTCAAAATGGAAAACAGCAGAAAACCGAACATAGAAAAAAGGAAGGCAAAAACTCAACTCAAACTTTTGTTTGTCCCCAAAGTGAGGTGCAAATGACTTTTGTTCTTTTTTGGTCGTTTTGCCCTGCCGCCTGACAACTGTCGAAGTAGTCGAGAATCGAGCATGGAGCATCGAAATGACCAAAGCTTCGGCATTGCCTAAACGTGCGTGTGAATGACCAAAAACTGGACACGAACACACAAGTATTTATGGTAGATGTTTGGTGGGGGAGGGAATGAGATGAAAAGGGGGTGGCATATAGGAACTACATGTCGATGTGGGCAAAAGGAAATCAATTTCCATATGCAAAACTTTTTTAGTGCACGTGCTGGCGCAGAGGCAGGGAGAGTGAGTGCGAAAGAGAGAGTGTGTGGGCGGGGAGAGAAATCGAATTTTGTCCATAAAATATTCAAATTGTTCTGTATAAACGACGCATAAACATTCTTTGTGCATATCCCCCCTATTGACCAGGTGGGCATTGGTGGGTGGACACACACACCTGCATGCAGTGACCTGCCGCACACCCACAATACTCCATTTTGATCACACAGTTTCGGGAGGAGGCTGCTGTGCTGCTCCCTCCCTGAATCGCATAAATTTTTATGTTCAAATGCCAAAAGCCGTAGGCTGGTGGGGACTCTGAGTGGGAGTTGAAATTGTTTCTGAAGCCGGGTCTCGATCGCTTAATGTGCCCCGCGGCAGAAATTCAATTTGTAGCACATCCGTGGCCAACAGAGGCACAAAAAAGAGTAAAGAGAAAACTGCAAATGTGAAAAAAGTGCAAATGTCCGACTGAATGAGCGAAAGCAAAGCGAAACGAAACGAAACGAAACTGAAGCTGAAACAGAAACAGAAGGAAAAACAGAAACAGCAACTGAAACACAACAACTGGAAAAGTCTACCCCGGGGGCATGCACCCAATTCTGACACCACAAAAGATACGAGAGGAAAGAGGCTGGGTTGCAGTGGCAGGACCTCTGTTGGGGGTTGCTTCTACTTTGCTATGCGAGCGAACGATTGATTGAAAATTGATTTCATTATGAACCTGTGATGCATTCAGGCATCCTTACCCTCTCGACACCACACACACACACACACACACACACACATGCGATATTCATTCAACACCCTGACAATCCCCTAACCAATGGATGCCATCCAACACCATTCAGCCATCCGTCCATCCATCCATCCATTCCCACGGTATCTTCAGTTGATAATTGGATTTCGAAAGGTTCTCTTCACTCCCCACCAAATCCCTTGCCGTCTCTAGAAGTGTTTTGTGCATTTCCTTTTCAAATTAGTTATGGAATTTTCGCTGTATTTAAATTGTTGTATCCCCTCCCCCCATATCGAAGTTCTCAAGACCTCAAGGGAGTGGTGGCTGGGCAACATCTGAGGCAACATCAGCCAGCCAGCCTCCCACCCAGAGATCCAGGAAATTAAGCCGCTTATGGCCAGAGCCCTTTGCGTCCCTTTTGTTTCTTTTTTAATGCCCAGACCGTGGTGCCATGGTCTACCATGGTCTGTGTCCCTCGCGCCACGTTCTTGGCCATATTCCGTTTCCGTTTTGGCGGTGCTCCAGCCGGCCGGCCCAAAAATATTACTCAGTTGCCATTTCACTTAAGATTCCCGGCTGGCCAAGTGCACTTGTGGCTGCTGCTGTCTGTCGCGTAGCGTATTTAGCATAAAAGGTAGCGCCATGTCTTCCGCATGGTCTTTGGGTGCTTTTGATGTCTGCCATTGTTGATATTTTGCATCAAAATTCGGACAGGGAAGTGGGTAGTGGGAGGATGCGGCGGAAACCATGCGGAAGTGGCGACATTTTTGAATGTCACTCGGCATTTTGAGGTTGCCGCAAAGTGCGCAGCTCAGAATTTGCATAATGCCAGCAGGAGTAGGGGCTGCGGTCTGGGATTGGGAATGGAATGGGACCGGGATGGGATGGGATGGCCGTCCGTCTCGGGTTTCTATGCAAATGTGAACAAGATGCGTGTGCCATTTGTTGGGGCCATGAGATGATGATCCTTGTAAATATGAGTTGAGTTGAGTTGAGTTGGCCGGGTTAAAAGTGATTTGATACCCAAGTGGGCGACACCTAATATCAACAACAAAACACAAAATTTGAGCCTCTGAAAGATGACTAGTCCGCGGAGCAGGAAAGCTCCCATAGAAAAGGAAAATGACAAACTGGTTTGCGTCTCGGGGGACGCCAGGGCGCAGCTAATCTCACGGATACCCCGCGAACTGGACAACTTCTGGCGCATGGATACGCGCGTGCCGGGTGGCCTGATAAACGGCCACGCCTACCTCAATTCGCCCATTTTGAACAAATCGCTGGCCTTTAGCGGCTACGAGCGGCGAGTGATGTCCATTCACGGCATGCTGCCGGTGGCGGTGCGCACCATGGACGAGCAGGTGGCCGCCTGCAAGATGCTTCTCAATCAGATGACCACCCGGACACAGCAGTTCATGTATCTGCGCAATCTTGGAGGCACCAATCGGCAGCTATTCTACCGCCTGCTGGAGACCAACTGGAACACCTATATGCCAGTGCTGGAGAGCTCGAACACGGACTTTTTGATCAAGTTTCACAGTCTGTTCTATCACAAACCGCAGGGCATGTACATCACGATCAAGGATCTGGGCCATGTGGGTCAGATGCTCAGGAATTGGCCACGTCGCACGGTGCGCTGTGTAATGGTCAGCAATGGCGCCTCCGTGCTTAGCATCGGTGACTATGGCATCAATTCCATGGCCGTTCTATTGTCCATTTTGCATCAGAATGTCATCTTGGGCGGCATACATCCGGACTTTTGTCTGCCCCTGTTGCTGGACGTGGGCACCGACAACGAGGAGCTGCTGCAGGATCCCCTGTACATGGGTCTGCGAGAGCATCGTACATCCCACTTGAAATTCCACCAGCTCTTTGACGAATTCGCACTGTCCGTGCTGCAGCAGTTTGGCTCGCGAACGACCATCCTGTGCAAGAACTTTGATGCCCACAATGCCATCTATCAGCTGGAGAAGTACCGAAAGTTGCAGTGCTTCATGGACATTGACTTCCAGTGCCAGGGGGCCTGCGGCCTGTCCGGCGTGATTGTGGCCAATCGTCTGAAGAGAATGCAATTCAAGTGCAACACTTTCCTCTTCTATGGCACCCATGCCATGAACATTGGCATGGCCCGCCTGTGCCTTGCCCTCTTCAAGAAGGAGGGTCTCATCGAGGGCACAGCACGGGAGCGCATTTGGTTCTTCGACAACAAGGGCCTGGTGGTGGGCAATCGAAAGGGCATACCAGCGGTGCTGCGCGAGTTCATCAACTGTGGGAAGCCAACCACGGATCTGGCGGAGGCCATTGACCAGATACGCCCCAATGTCTTGGTCGGTGCCGGCGGGCAGCCGAATGTCTTCACCAAGGAGGTGCTGCGTGCCATGGAGCGTAGCGCCGAGCTGCCCATCATCTTTGCCATGTCGCGGCCCATCGAAAATGCCGAGTGCTCCGCCGAGGATGCCTTCACCTACACCAAGGGTCGCTGTATCTTTATCACGGGCTCGTCGCTGCCGCGTGTGAAGTATGCCAACAAATGGTACCAGCCGGGACGCAGCAACAGCATCTATCTGCAGCCGGGCATCCTGCAGGGCATCCTGCTGTCGGGCATGACCACCGTGCCGGATGAGACCTTCCTGGTGGCCGCCGAACGCTTGGCCTGGCTCGTCTGGCCCGACGACTTGGCCCAGCGCAATGTTTACCCACCGATGCGGAAGATTCAGTGCATCAATCAGCGCATTGCAGAGGCCGTCTTTCTCTATGCCTACCGCAAGGGTTTGGCCACGCTCTGGCCAGAGCCTAAGAATCCCACCGAGTACATCAAGAGCCAAAAGTACGACTCCAGCTATGGGCAGGTGGCCAGTGAAGTGTACTGCATGGAGGATAGTGTAATTTCCACAACCGAATCCCACAAATACTTCAAGGAGAACACATAGATTTCACAATGTTATTAAAGAGCTAAAGTGAGAGAGAGTTGAGGGGAAAATTGCATGGCATATCATATCTAATAACAGTTGTTTGCCCGGTCCTTGGGCGGGGGATCGGGGGATCGGGGATCGGGTTCTAGGGTTCTGCATATTGATTTCGATTCAAAGCGTACAAGTGCCCAGAGTCCTGTGGCAGTGGCCCACCAGCGTGCAATTAATTGCATGCAATTTTCATGTGTCAACTCATGCTGTGTGTTTGTGTGGGTGAGAGAGAGGGTTTGGTGCAAGGGGCTGGCTGGAAAAGTCTCCAGTGGGGCACTATATGACGTTGACACTATACCAACAAGCACACAAATGTGCAATGAACACGACGAGATACCCTGTGATGTAGTACCACGTTTGTACATATTACAAGAGATCTTTGATGATTATTACAATAGGAATCGCTATAAATTCATAGCATTTACATCTATATGTCTTGCAGTGTAACAAGTGACTCTTTCTGCCTGTCATACCCCAACTTGTGCCTTGCAAAATAATAGAAAACAGCCACCATGAAATGCTATGAAACAAAGCCACAACAAAAAGTCAGACGAATTTAATTGCATGAGTATTTGATTGTGTTTGTGTGTATGGGTGTGTGAGTGCCGTTCTGCCAGTGACAGGTGCGTGTGTGCCGGAGAAGCATGATGTTTCATTTCATTTATCAAATATGGAAAATGAAATGCATTCGGCATTGTGTCGGGTTTTTGTCTGTCACATTGAATTATTTGCTTAGTTTCTGTTGCCTGCCTTTGCCTTCCATTCAAACCATCGATCGTTTATCGGCACTGGAGGCCACAAATGAATACAGAGAGAAAGAGAGAGACTTTCCAGAGAATGTAACACGAATTTTCATTAGTTTGTAGGGTAGCTGTGTCCCCCATTAGGCTGGTCCCCAGGAGATAACTTCGTAACCAATTGCTTTTAGGCTCAGCGCATCAATATCGTGGTCCGACAGCTCCCGGATCACACTCGCCACGTTCTTTGAGCTCTGAAAAATGAGAATTGAATGCATGTAAGCACAGGTAAGCATAGAGTTGTAACCTATAACACCTTACCATAGCTGCCTCTACCATTGTTTTGAACTGTGCACTGCGCAAGGCCTCGTAGAACTTGCCAAATAGGGGACTGCGCTGGCGCTTCTCACTGATGAGCGCCACAAAGCGGTCACGAGGCAGATGTGTCAGTAAATCCCGCACAAAGCTGATAAAGGAACCCACTGATTCCCCTTCATATAAAGGCCCTTGCGGCATGAGCACTAGAATCACCTCCTCCTCGGTGTCCCATCGAGCGCCCTGGACATTGTACACACTGCGACGCTGGACACGATTTCTATAGCGCTGGGAGTAGATGGGCCAATACCGGTCTATGGATCCGGCAACAGTATCGTTGAGGTGCACAAAGTTGACTATCTCCACGACCTCTGGCAGGGCCTCTGTGCGCTGCTGTAATCGCTTAAAGTCGGAACTGCGTAGAAAGTTCACAGCCTTGCGGAAACCCGAGTCGGTGATCATGTGCTTTGCCACCAGTTCATCGATGGTGACACTTGGTATAAGTTTCGTAAAGTCGCGCAGTTCATTGATAAGCTCCGGTGAATATCGGACTTGTCTGTGATTCCGATGAGCATGGGCCGAGACCAGCACTAGCCCGAACAGCAGTAGATGAAGCATTTCAATTATTTAACGCAATATTTCTACACTAATCTCTTTGATCTGCTCTTCGCACAACTGTTTCACGCTTACTCCGCTTATTTTTGTTTTGGTGCAGATTTCTGTTTATGACCCATTTACTGCTACCTAAATTACGCCTACACTGGGGGTATATACGACACTGGCAAAGTCTGCCAAGCTGGGTAGTAAACGACTGCAGCAGTAATTAATGTTCATTTATGTTTCGGGGGGGGAATATTGTATGACTATCGCCACTGTTTAAAAGTGCAGCTTTTGCTTTGATGTTTCGATTTCAAGGGTAAAAGAAACGTCGAGCCGCTGAAGCTACTTTTCCTTATCTTGCAATTGCAAGAGCGCCAGAGCGACTCTCTTCGTCTCTGCTTTGTGCTCCAAAACAAACGGAACGGCGCTCGCAGCCAAAGCAGGCAGTTAGAAGGTAGGGAAAGAAAGTTTTACTCTCCGTATCTCATTGTGTCCCACTCCCCTTGACTCTCAAATACACGTGTGCATGGGCACACACATTGTGAACCTCAGATTAGCTGCCTGATCGATGTTCCACCTTATATTTTGCATGCCTTGCGCGAGACTGCAGAAACAGCTATAAATTCGACTGCCTACAGTCGCTTCCCCCAAAATTGACCACACCAAGAAAATAGACAAAATCAAAATTCCGTTTTGTTTGCTTATTAAAGAATCTTATCACATTTATTTACTGCATTTTCTTTATATGTGTTTACAGCTAATTTGTTTTTGTTTTATTTCATTGAATTATTCTGTTTTCCAAATGATTCTTTTGTTTTGTTGTTGGAATATTTTATAGCTCATGAATCATCAATTTGCGTTTGTTTTCTTGTTTCAATTGGTTAGAATTGAACCACATTCGAATGTTTTTTTGTAATTTAAGCGCAAATTCTCCTTTATTGTATGAATACTTTGTAAAAGTTGTTTATCTATGTGTGTGTTTTTGTTTGTGTATTGTATGCATGTATTTATATATATAGCGATTAATTTATTATTAATTATTACTATTTTTACAATAAATTGTGTTTTAAGTACTCAATTAACATTAATTTCCATCTTTAATTGCCATCATGGCAATTGATTTATGTTTTCTGTCAGTTTTTTCTCATGTTTTCAATATCTTTTTACTCAACATCATGTGATTGTCATACAAAACATTTCACATAATCTTCAAATTATTTACAATAAAATTCTTGAACACAAAAACTACCGAAGGCAACAAAAAATATCATATGGATTCATTAAAGTTAGAAGCTCAGAGCATTAGTAGCTTTTTTAATATTTTCCATTGCTTTTTTATGTTTTGGTTTCTTTGTAGTTAGTAATTTTTTATTTTTAGTATGCAGCGATAAAATGTTAATTATATTTTTCCTATTTTTTCGGTTGGGAAACATTAAAAATTTTGCTGAGAAAATCTTTAGAAAAATATTGTTGTTGAGAGTGTTTGTGTGTAGATAATGAATTAGTTAGTGTTCCTTTCATTTTGTTTTCCTCTATTTCTGCAAATGCTCGTACCTTTTCGGGGTTTACTGTTCTGTGAAGCGTTTAGTTTTTCCATGGTTTATGCTCTTTTTATGGCAGTGTCAAAGTATTTTCTTCATATTAGGAATACGATTCTCCGCCTGCCTAATCCTGCCGCTCAGCCATAAATACAAATGTATTACTAAATGCATTTGGGTGTGTCTGTGTGTTTGAGCTGCTTTTTGCTTAAAAAAACGCACATATCTGCCACACCAACTTACCTAAAACTAGGGATTAAGTAATCTCATGAGCATGTCGGATGCTGGTCTCAATGCAGTACGTACTTTATGTACGATATCTATACGTGTATGGTTAGTACTAGATGTTATCTAGATGCTAATATATGTATTTATGTATAACTATATTTATTGCTTATCGTAAACATTAGAGGCCAACGCACAATCTATACAAGAGCGAGTTAATGCCAAATAGCGAATCGTTCAAAATCAAAATCAAATCGTAGAAACGTTAAATCAATGCCTGGTTAAATATCTTATCGTCTAAAGCAGTTCTACTATATACAAAATCCTCTTCATTCTCCTCTATATCTCTGCATCTGGTGTGCGTCATGGAATCTGTCTCGGTTCTGTTTTGGCTATATTATAAGTTGGTTCCGTACTTGTCTATGACCTAAACATTGGGCAGATATTCACACACATATCATACATGCGTACGCGTACATGTATAAATATATAGTAATTTATGCGTATAATCTTAGACTATGTTTTAGTTAAACAAATATTGCTAAGTAATATACAAATTCGTTTAAGATCTTCCCAACCCCAAAAACCCAAAATGGCCAAGCGACGAGTTCTCGAAAACATAACATAAATCGAAATCAGTATTAAAAGTGAGCTATGTATGTATAATTATACTTGTCAGATTCTCACTTTAGGTGGTTTTGTGTATCCTTAACCGTAGCTCGAAATAGATATAGAGATTCTCTGTGTCGGAGAGTGTATTCTGTGTGTGTGTGTGTTTGTGTGTGTCTATGCTGTGTGTAAAACCGTAAATTTCCATTTGATTTATGGCAGGATCCTTTTGCTAGTAACTTTTATCGTTTACTCCATCTTTGTATATCAGTTAGTTAATGTCGAAATCAATCAAATATTTGACGCTGACAACATCTCAAAACGAACAGAAAACGCAATGGCAAACGTAACGAAGGTGTTGATCATAATCAAAAAACTCATTGAAATTATCCGAAATATTGTCGATGCTAAAAGCTTAAAAATTTCAGTCTTTGTAGTTGGTTTCTGCTCGGCTCTTGTCACATGATTTTTTCCCCATCCTGGCCTTTCCATCTCACCATCTTCTCCCATCGCTGCTTACTGTGTTTGGTTTTGCTTCATCTCCTCTCCACCTGAAATAATAAATACACCAATGGAAACACATATTAAATCGAGAAAATGCATTTATGTACATTTATATAGTATGGGGTCAGGGCATTGGGAAACTGGTGAGGGTTTGGTTAGAGGCATCTCCTCTTGGTGGGGGAGGGCGGGTGCGGTTTCAATTGCGGGTTGTCTTACAACCTCCACTCAACTTACATTTACATTTTAACTAGAAACTTTAGAAACGAGCAAACATGGCAAGCACGAACACGAAAATGTACAGTATGTGGTGGGCGGGCGGCACGCCTCCCTCCGACGATGATGACAAGAACTCGGAGCTATATAAGTACTCTGTTGGGGCAGCGGCAGGAACATCGGCAGCAGTCCAGGGGAGGGTAATGGACAAAGGACATAATATTAGGTTAGAGTTTTGGTTAGGGTTTACATACACACTCGAAAGAAAATTGTTTGAAATTGTTGTGCTTGAAAAATAAAACCTTTTTGGAACCGGAAAATGTTTGACAATTGTCAGCAAATGTTTTTCCATTGGTTTATTTTTTTTAGAAAAAGAATATCCACACTGGAATGCTCGAATTTCTATGCAATGCAGGATATTTTTTCAATTAAAAACTAAACACTTTTTCAACTCAAATTTAAAACTAAATTCGAGTGTTGTTCTACTGTGAATGATAGTGGGTTTTAATGGGTTTTGGTTGTGGTGTTGGTTTTGGATTCTGTTTCCATTTCTGGGCTACTCACTTCTGGGTCAGACCAGGGCATCATTGCTGAAGACATCGTTGACATGTTTGCCATTGCTGCTAACAGAACCTGCCTTGTCCTTGAGGCCGCATTGCTGAAACGAGCGAGTGGGAGAATGGTAAAGAATGGAAGTTATGTAGGTTTCTATGCGCACAATATTTGCTAGCAAATTAGAAAATAATTAAAACACAAAGAGGCAGCCCCCAGGCCGTGCCGCAACGCACCGCACCTGGCGCTGAAAAATTAATTAAAACAATTAACGGCAGATGGTGCGGGCCCCTGCCCCCACGGCAATTACCGAAATAAGCGTATAATTTTGGATTTCTCAAGAAATGAATTGAAGTGTGCTGAAACCCACCTCCTGTTTGGCCTGCCATTGTTTCATGGCCGATTTGTATTTCTCGAACTCGTTGCACCAATGCGAGTAGATCTTCTGGTAGTCCTGCTTCTGCGAAGGAGGCGAGCATCTGTCGGGGGAGATAGAGAGAGAAAGAGAGAGAGAGAGAGAGGGAGGAAAACACGTTATTGACAGTTCCGGTTTCGGCCTCAAGAGAAAAGTTGGGCCAAGCTGCTAATTGCGATGCCGGAGCTTGAGACTCACCTGTGCGCGTCCACGGTTACCCCGTAGCTGCAGAGCAGGGTGCCATCCAAGTAGCTATCATAGCGGCCGCCATCGCCCTCATTAACCGCCAGCAGGACGAGGCCGCCCTCGTTCGTTTCAATGTATTTGGTGGGCGTGTAGCGTACCTCATAGCTGCCAGACAGAGAAGAGAGAGATAAAGATAGCGAAATAAATAGAGGGGAAGCGACGTGTTTAGAGAGCGAGAGATTTTCCATTTTCCCAACCTCGTGAACGCATTGAAAACGCACAATAAAAATCAATATATATACACTTTGTGTGTGTGTGTGTGTGTGTGTGTGTGTGCGGCAGACAGCGACTTTTGTCGCTGTGGCAAAAGAAAGTTGAAAGTTTTTCCATTACTTGAAACCCCTAAAAGTAGAAGGAGCTGGGGGGGGCTGGGCTTCAAGTCGGAGCAGCATCCCCAGTCAAATAAGCGTAAATGCCAAAAAGCAGACTTGGAGAGCATTTTAAAGTGTCAATTTACCGCAGCATTGGCAGCAGCCAGAGCTAAGTGAGATGAAGCGAAGTTTCCCCAACCATTTTATTATTTGCTTTCAATTTTTCAAGAGATTCAAAGAGATAGATCTGGGGAAATAGATATATAAAGACTGCCGACTGCCGACTGCCGACGACACTTACCGTCCCTTCTCCGTGGAGTGATGATACCATCGCGTCTGCTTCTTTCGCAGCACCTCTGGCATCTTGACGAAGCACGAGAGATGCAGTGTCTGGCCGTAGGAGGAGGTGACACGCTTGCGGAGCACACTCGTATCGCAAATGCCCGACGTCTCGTTGGCCACATCCTGCAGAAGGCCAAGCTGGTACGGGCGGCAGGCATTCACCTCCTGGTCCCAGCCACAGTAGGGATCGGCCACACAGCGGAAACAGCTGTCGTAGCGGCGGGCACACATGGCAATGTCTATCTGCTTCACCTGATGATCGGTGGCCAGGTAGAGGGAGCCCGTCTTCTGGCTGAGTATCAGTTCGCGGATGGGTTCGTTGTGCGGCGATGCCTCGAAGATGTCAATCAGATTGGAGTGCCGCTGGCCATAGTGCATGAACTGCACAATCTTGTAGATTTGTCCCGAACTGGTGGCCACAAAGTACACCAGAAACTCCTGGTTCAACTTGTCGATGCGTATCCTAGGGCGGAGATAAAACAAAAAAGAGAAAACCACAAAAGAGAGAGAGAGAGTCGTTAGAGCAGGGGAAGTGGCAGGGCAGCCACATTGGTGGCAAGAGCTTAACTAAAAACACATCCTGCGGCACACTGTTCACAAGTTCCGGCCAAGTCAAAACATTTCTCGCTGCCAGAACTACAGTCTCTCTGTGTCCATGTCTCACTGTCTCCAGGCTAGAGCCAGGAACCTCAGAGAGTGAGACAAATGTCAACAGGGATGCACGCTGCAGTGTGGCAGTGTGGCTGTGTGGCCTGTGGCTGCCTGCCAAGGAGCGACTTGCAAACTGGCAACTGGCAACTGGCAGCGCTAATGAATATAATTTTCACTTACTTGTCCACCACCAGCTTGGTGAGTATTATGTCTCGCTTGAAGAAGACCGGATTGCCAAATTCATGATCGACCGCCTTGTCCATTAGCGGATGTTTACGTATGAAATTCAACACGGAGTCCGGCAGTGTGGCGGTGTCGTTGTGGCATGTGCCCGGACGTGGCTCCGGCACTTTCTGGTTGAGTACGGGCAGCCAGGCGCTGTTCGAGCTAGCCTGCTCCTTGTATTTTCCTAAGTGGATGAGAGAGAGAGAGAGAGCATCAGTATGGTGCCATGGAGTATGCCACACTTAATTTATGTGTGTCGTCAGTGCGAGTGTTTTTTTGTGGCAATGGCTGATTTGTGGCAAACAGACAGCAACAGCAACAGGAGAGAAAAAAAATATAAAAATACATTTTTGCCATCATATCCTGGGTGGCCTTCAATGTGGCTTCAAGTGTAGCTGTTGCATAATCGTTTCTTCCCATAATTAATTGCTGTGGCTTTTCCCCCCAACACATTTTTTTGCCTCTGCACTCAACGTTCTTGTCCTCGTCCTGTCTGTCTGTCTATCTGTATCTGTGTTGGCCTGTGGGCATGTGTGTGTGTGTGTGTGTGTGTGTGTGTGGTATCTGTGTCTCTGTGCAACATGCCCGCAAACTTTCCGTAATGAATTTTAAGTGTATGCCAGATTTTTTACTCCACTTGCCCTGTGGCATTCTGTGTCTGCCGCTGTCTGCCTGATTGTCTGCCTGTCAGTCTTGGCAGAGCTCCATACACAGAGAGAGAGAGAGAGAGTGAGAGAGAGAGAGAGAGAGAGAGTGAGAGAGAGAGAGAGAGCGAAGAAAACACATTCTGAGCCACACAACTTTATGGTGTTAATGAACTTTTTAAAACCATACACCAGATGTCGATATATCGACTGCAAGATACCCGCTAGTCACATAAAAGTGGAGGCAAAGTATCTGTGTGAAAAAATGCTGTACCTCTACAGGGTATGCACATGTTTACCCTACCCCACTCACATGAGCTTTTCCCTAAATCGATGCCCGGCAAGCAACTTTAAACCGTGCAAAGAAATTCAAGATGGATCTGAGCTGCGAACTCTGGGTGAGGAACTCTACGACTACGAGAAGCAGCGTACTCCCATCAATTCAATGCGCGCCATTAAACGCACGAATTCCAGGCGCAAAGAACAGAGAACCCAGGACCCGGGACTCCACCTGTACGCGTAATTCCAATCGCAGTTGTTGCAAGAAAAAAATCCACACACAAGAATTATGGCCAATGCAATAAATCAGAAGGGCACACCCGTATAGGTGAGGGTATAGAGACTCCCCCTGAAACTCACCTTCAAATGCCGCATTGATGTCCCTGATGTCATAGCTGCAGACAGCGGAACCAATCAGACCGTTCGTATTCGTTGTAAATGTGGCATAGAACTTGCTGTCGTCGCTGGGCATCTTGTAGACCGATTGAATCTCGTTGAAGTAGAAGGGAAACTCGCTGGAAATGCTGCAGTTCATGCGTGCCTTCAGGTACGTGGCCCAGTTCTGGCTCATCATGTATTTGCCACCGCGATCGTTCTTGCAGACGCGTGCCACACGCGAGTAGACCTCCTTGCCGCAGTTGATGTACTCCACGGCATGTTCCCGGAAGAAGAAGTAAACAAATTCCCCAATCTCGAATGAGCCCACAAAGTTTGGTTCTGCAAAATGGGAAGAATCAGAGATTAGTTTATAAACATTTGAAGGATGCTGCTGTTCAACTTACTGTCCAATAGCTTGGAGTCATATTTCACTGTACGCTTAAAGTTTGCCTCCTTGCGGCCGTTGGTCAGATTGTAGAGATCCGAGCGGAAAATAACCGAATCGGCCTTGGTGAACTCTGCATTGGTGCCGGCATACTGCATGGAGATAGAGTGACAGAGAGGTTGTTTTGAGTATACGGCATAGGGATGATAATGTCTTGGTTAAGGCCTCAACATCACGCATACACCCAGTAAGCCCAGGCAGGGGCACGCATGCACACAATTACGCATAAAGTGTACGCACGTGCCTCCCTCTTCTATTGCTCGCTCTAATTTAATTTCAGCTGCTTTATTGCTGCTGCTGCTGCTACTGCCTCGCTCTGTCTTTAAAATTTGTCTTTCCTCTGCCTCAAACACACACACACACACACACACACACACACACACACACAACTTTTCCGTTGACTTCCTTCCCTTCCATGCGGTGCCCCTCCTACACTTTACTTTACTTTTGTAATTTTATTACAATTGACATTTTTTCTTTTTATTTCTGCCTTGCTCCCTTTGCGTTTTCTTTTTCTTTGCCTTTGCCTTTTCTTCGTTTCGCTTCCTGAACTTACCAGCGCGGGCAAACCAAAGGGATTTCCGTTTTCCACATAGACGGCGGTTGAGTTGTCAGCGGGATCGTAGGGACACTTGCCAATGCCCAGGCCAACGCCGGGCACGTACTGGGATCTGGGTAAATGTGTTAAGTTTGCCTAAGGGTTGCCATTCGCGGGGGAGGTTCGTGTTTGAGTTGGGATGGAGAAAGAGAGAAGAACAGGAGAAGAGAAAAGCGCATTAGTTGACTTGAATTTTGGGCAGAAAACTTGACTGACATTCACAATTAGTCAGTCAGAGTCGCACACAATCCTTTTCCCCAAAACCCAAAACTTTTCCATACTTACATTTATAACATAATCCTTGGGATTGTGGGCATTCGTGCCGCACACATAGAGTCGATGTCCATTGAACTTCATTGGCTGTATGACGCGTATGTGATTGCGGCATTCCACCTTCTTGTCGTTTGCCATTTAATAGATGTTTCGTTTAATGTAATTGTTGTAGTTGCATATAAATGTTGGAAAATCAAAATTTGTAAGCCAAAAATCAAAATTGTAACAAAGATGCAAATGGAAATGGGGAAATGGCAAAGGCCGTGGCATGAGTACAGGATCCAAACAATTTCAATTTCATACACAATTTTGCACATGCTTTGGTCAGAGAGGTTAATACATAAAATCTATGTATGCATATGTATGTATTTATGTATGATATTCAGACTCACCTCCCGCTTGCCCTTGGACACACAGTTGAGAATGTCGGAGCCGGTGGGTTCCAGTATGAGAACATCGCGCTGTAAAACAAATTGAAGCAGGGTGAAATTTTTTCAATTTTCCAAAGTTTATTGAAAGCGTGCTGGAATGTGATGTTGCGGCGATGGCACGCACCCCCCCAGTGTTTTTTTTTCTTATTTTTTGTGCGGCACAAACATTTTTCTTCCCCATGCACTGCAGGAAAATGCTTAGCAACTTACAAATTTGTTTTTGAAAATAATAGAACAATTAAACAATTGAATTAAATCAACTCTTTGTAGGGCTTTAAGTATTTCGATATTTCTTTTATTTATTTCTTTTTCTTTCTTTCTCTCAGTGTACGCTCCATCTTTATTTGTGTTTGTCCTGTCTTTGTACGTAGCTCACGTTGCAGCATTTGTTTATTTAATTCGATTTTGTTGTTGTTTTGCTGTTGCGACAGCACATCTGAATCTACAATGTAGAATCCTACTACCCGTTCCACGGAATGATTCAATAAATTTGAAGACCATTTCAGCCAGAATTCTTTGCCAAAGTGAAAGCCACAAATCAATGGCAGCGAGCGAGAGAGCGCGAAAGAGAGAAATGCAAAAGCCATCGACTGACAATTTTTATGCTTGACATATAGACACAATATCCGGTGCCTGCTGCTGGATGGATGCACTTTCCCACTTGCACTTGCCTTGGCCATTGCTCGAGAGAGTGATAGAGAGAGGGAGTGAGAGAGGGAGTGTCAGCGGGGGTGGGCAATCGTGCGGCTAAGTGCTGGAGGGGCCTCGACTTGAAATGGAATGGAATTCCTTCGGCGACCCGCTCAGAAGTCAGCACAAATAATTGCTGTTAAAAGCATTTGGCTCCTGGCTCCTGGCTCCTGGCTCCTGGCTCCTGGTCAGGAGAAGTAGCAGCCATGGCCCCAGATTGCAGCCAAAGAAAAACGAACACAAGTAAAAAGAAAACTCAACTCAACGTAAAACGCTTGAGCGGACAGAGGCGGATATTGACAGTTGAAGATGGAATCATTAAAGTGCAATTGTGTGCTGTCACAGATGAAACTCTGCAAAATGGTTTCCCCGGGAAGACACTCTGAGAGTTGGAAGGAAGTAAAGGATGGTTGGATGGATGCGGATGGGCAGGGACACTTACCTCGCAAATCGATTGGCTTATGTTACGCAGATTCAGCCGAAAAATGCGATCCCTGCAAGAAGAGAAAACAGAATGAAAAAAAAAAAGAGACAAATGATTAGTCAGCTAAATGATTAAAGAGGCAAACTTTGTCGCAGCAAAAACGACACGACACGGAGGACACACTCGACACATGACCTAATCCCTGACTCGTGCCAGACGATAGGTTAATGCCACACCAGTTGCCACCTGTCTGCGTTTTGGGGGGGAGGCAGAGGTTGCGGGTGTCAATGTCTTTTTATTTTGAAAAATTGTCAAACCCCCTACCGGTAGCTGGTTGATGCACCTGCTGTGCGGCCTGTCAAGCCCTGCCAGCGTACTTATTGCAGTCACTGTGCCTGTGATTGATTGATATGTCGAATGTCGCAATATTGCGTGTCCATATTCCAGGGCAGAGGCTTAACGGAGGCAAAGTCGGAGCAGGCAGCGGCAGCGGCAGCGGCATTATGGAAATGGAAATGGAAATGGCTGCGGCATCGCCACTTTCCGGCCACTAGAAACTTTTGGGCGAAAAACAAAAGGAACACGGAACGGAACACACGGAAAAGGGGTGTGCAGGGTGTGAGGGGAGTGTAGAGTGTGTTTTATGTAGTTGGTCGGAGCAGAGAGAGTTTTTGGGTAGCGCTTTCCCCTCGACAACTCAAAAGCCATTAATCTTCATTTTCATGGCCAGCCATGGGACGCGCGCGCGGCATGGGAAATGAGTTCTAGGGAGTCCTCGGGGTAACAATCGCTGATGATGCCACCGCCACCGACAACGACGAGTGCTGCCAGCTGTGGTCTGCTTCAGCTCCTGCTCCAGCTCCAGCTCCAGCTCCCTCTGCTGCTACTGTTCCTGGGGTAGTAAGCGGCATTCGAGTCAAGTGGTAATTTTGGTTACTTTGTTTGCCAGCTCTAGAGGTTCCAGAGGTTCTCTGGCCCACCCCCTTAGCAACCGCAACCGTTAAAATGCGGCACTGCTCAACTAACCACAGACAAATGAGCAGACGTGGCAGGCAGTCAGCTCCCTCTCGTTGTCAAATTGCAGACCCGCACCCGTTTGGGGCATTAATTCATAATTATGTATGCCGACAGTGTGGCCGGTTTTCGTCCCTCTGCCCTGCCCTGTTCCCTGGCAAAATATGAATGAAATATGCACCCCTAAATGCGTTCTGGCAGCCATCTTCTCTACCCTATCAACACATCTTCCAGGCGAAAGTCCACACCGGAACTTTCTAATTATTCCTGGGGTCGTCGTCGCTTTTCTTTTTGGCAAACATTTTTCACCCCACTTACATGGCGCCCACATAGAGGGCATTGTTGCGCTCATCCATATAGAAGGTTCTGTAATGCAATGGGCCACAGCTAAAGTCCTTGACGTGATCTAGAAGTAAGGAATAAAAGAGAGGAACATTAAGTATACGCACAGCAGAGTGTTTGGTTCATTGATTTAAAGAAAATGTCAGTGGGGCGTGAGAGTGAGTTAGAGTGAGTGGACCAGCAGTTAATTAAAGCTTAATGAAACTGTCAGCAGCAGTTTAGCAACAACTAATTAAACTATTATAATTTAGCACACACACAAAGTTAATTTATGGAAGGGCCTGGGACACACACACACAACACAAAAGCCTTGGCCCAGGGCCCTTCTGCGCCCCTGTCGCCTGTCGCCTGTCCCTGCCCTTGCACATTTGACACTGACAGTGTCACGTAGCCGTAGCCGTAGCCGTAGCCTCTACCCAGATATGTCACGTGCTGAGGCCCAGACAAAAACACAGCCCAAAGGCAAGCCCACTTTCGGTTCGTGAGACGCAAAGAAAAAGTTGCACCGCTGTCAATGTCATTAACAAAAGATTGAGGCATTTAGCTGAAATTTTTACGACATTAAGTTGTCAACTAATTTGGCACAATTAGTAAAACAACAACACACAAATATACTCTCACTCATAGCTCTGTGCACAAAGCGAAAGGACAAACAGGACAGCAGAGGACAGGACAACTTTTTTTTATTTGAGGCCAAAGCCCCAAACAAATCCTTTGATGGCATCGCTAAGAGTCATTTGTGTTGACTTCTCTCCACTTTTTCTCTTGGTCATTGACGACCCCCAGCGACCCTTAATGGGCTCAGGCACAACAATGGCAACGAGTAGTAACAGTAACAAAAGTGATTTCCATAAGAATACCTAATGAACGAATGAATGAATGAATGAATGATTCCGTACTGTCGCAGTCGAGTTTTTTTTCTTGCCTTTAACCTTATGCAAATGAGTGTCAAAGTTGGCTCAGAGTTTTTTGGGTTTGGGTTTATTTCTCCTTGAATTACATTTCGTTATCGTCAGTAATGTCCCTCTCTAAATTCTATTTTGCCGTAAATCAGCGGCTGCAGCAGACCCAAAGCCAGAATCCCTCCAATAGCAGTAGGCGGCACCATCATGACATTGTCAGAGCGCCGGTGCCCAGTGTTTTGGCGCCCAAAAATAACAAGGTACGCCCACATCCTCTTGTTTGCAATGAATTTTCAACTGATTTGTGTGTGGAACAGGGTCTCAATTTCACCATGGAGGAGCGCCAGCGTCTGCATGTGCACGGCCTGTTCCCGCCCGCTTTCCGCACCATGCAGGAGCAGGTTTTTGCCGTGGCGGCCAACTTTTATGCACGGGCCTCGAATATCGGAAGGTATCGGTACCTCAGATCCCTGCGACAGCGGCACGAGCGGCTCTACTTTCGCTTTCTGTCCGAGCACCTGGAGCACGTGCTGCCGGTGATCTACACGCCCACTGTGGGCGTGGCCTGCACCATATTCGGCATGATATTCCGCGGGCCCATGGGCATGTACGTGACGAAGTATGATCGCGGCCATGTGGCGCAGGTGCTGCGGAATTGGCCAGAGTCTGACATCAGGGCTGTGTGCGTGACGGACGGCGAGCGTATCCTGGGCCTGGGCGATCTCGGCGCCAATGGCATGGGCATCACAGTGGGCAAGCTGGAGCTGTACACGGCCCTCAGCTGTGTGCCACCGCATCAGCTGTTGCCCGTGTGCCTGGATGTGGGCACCAACAACGAGGAGCTGCTCGCCGATCCCATGTACATTGGGACGCGGGACAGGCGGATCAGGGGCAAGGAGTACGATGAGTTCGTGGACGAGTTCATGCAGGCCGTCGTCGAGATCTGGGGACAGCGCACGCTCATCCACTTCGAGGACTTTGCCACGCCCAATGCCTTCATGCTGCTGGAGCGGTATCAGCACAAATATTGCTGCTTCAACGATGACATCCAGGGTACGTCAGCTGTGGGGCTGGCTGGACTGCTGGCCGTCGAGCGGATCACCAAGAAGAAGCTGCCCGATCACGTTATCGTCTTTGCCGGCGCTGGCAGTGCCGCAATGGGCGTGACGAGTCTCCTCACCAAGGAACTAAAGACCCGCAAGCTGGACATGGAGCGCATCGTAAAGAATATTTACGTCTTCGATCAAAATGGACTCATTGTGAAGAGCAGAAAGGATGTGGCGCCGCCCATTCAACCGTATGCGAAGGATATGCCACACATCAAGGCACTCGATGAGCTGGTGGAGAAGGTGAAGCCATCCATCCTCATGGGCGCTACCAGCATGGCGGGACTCTTCTCGGAGAAGATTCTGCGCTTCATGGGCGCCAACAATGAGCGTCCCGCCATCTTTGCCTTCTCCAATCCCACCAGCAAGTCAGAGTGCACGGCCGAGCAGGCCTACGCCTTTACCGAGGGTCGCGCGCTGTTCTCCTCGGGCTCACTATTTCCGCCAGTGGTGGTCAATGGTAAACGCATGACGCCCGGCCAGGCCAACAACTGCTTTGCCTTTCCCGGCATTGGACTGGGCGTGTTGACCGCCAATGCCAAGACCATACCCGACGAGATCTTCCTGATGGCCGCACACACCTTGGCGCAGTATCCCGAGGAGGAGGCCATAGAGAGCGGCAGACTCTACCCAAAGGCAACAGAGGCCAAGGATGTGGCGCTGACTGTTGCCGTCGCTGTGGCTCAATATTTGTTCGATAATGGTAGGATTTGTTTGTGCAGTGAATCAGGTTCCCCTTCTCAATTATTACCCCTCAGATCTGGGCCAAGTTCATCCAGTGCCAGAGAATATCTGCAAGTTCATTGTCGAAAATCTCTACGAGCTGTGCAACGGCGACTCGTTGGTGGAGCCCTGGAAGTTCCCCGACTTGCCCAGAGTTCCCTTCACCAAAGACTACAAAATACCACCAGAAGATGTCAAGATTTCCTTTTAATCAAAGCATTTACAAGCAGGCCTTTTCCCTTTCGTAATATTAGTATTTCGATTATTAAATTTTCTCTGTGCAAACATTTGTCTCAATGACTTTTACCAAGCTGCGTCCTTTGCCGCGGCTAGCCTCACAGCTGAGAGCGATTGGGAGAAGCTTTTTGCAGGTGCACAACGATGCCCGCAGTCACATTGTGCGGCCAGATTGGCACAACGTTACAGATGGAAAATTGAACAAGGTGAGAGTGCTGAAAGGTGCCCGGAGGTGATACGCTGATCTGATATCGCTCATCCAGGGCCTAAGTTTCACCATTGAGGAGCGACAGCGTTTGGGCGTTCATGGACTGTGGCCCTGTTCGTATCGGGACCTGGAGGAGCAGCTGAATGCCGTGTGGGTAAACTTTCAGGCGCGCAAGGGCAACATCAGCAAGTTTACGTACATCAATTCGCTGTCGCATCGCCACCAGCGGCTTTACTATCGCTTCTTGAGGGACTACACGGAAATTGTGATGCCCATCATCTATACACCGACAATGGGCGAGATTGTGGCTTCGTTTGGGCTGCACTTCAAGTATCCCGATGGCCTGTACATCACCATCTTCGATCGGGGCCACATCAGGAATGTGCTCGAGAATTGGAAGGAGAAGCATGTCCGTGCCCTATGTGTGACGGACGGCGGTCGCGTCTTGGGCCTCGGCGACATGGGTGCCAATGGCATGGGCATTTCCATTGGCAAGATTTCCCTGTACACCGCATTGGCGGGTGTGGCGCCGCAGCAGCTGCTGCCCGTCTGCCTGGACGTGGGCACTGACAACGAGGAGCTGCTGGCCGATCCGCTGTATGTGGGAGCGAGAATAAATCGCGTACGCGGCGATGAGTACGAGGACTTTATGCAGGAGTTCATGGAGGCTACGGTGGAGTGTTTCGGTGGGGATACATTCATCCACCACGAGGACTTTGCCACACCGAATGCCATCAAGTTCCTGGAGAAGTATCAGTACTCCCATTGCTGCTTCAACGACGATGTTCAGGGCACAGGCGCCACCGGTCTGGCCGGCATGCTCAATGTGGAGCGTCTAACCAAACGGAAGCTGCAGGATATGATCTTTCTGTTTGTCGGTGCAGGCAGCGCTGCCCTTGGCATTGCCAATATGCTGCTCACAGCTCTGCAGGGACGAGGACTCTCGCTGGACGAGGCTGCCAGCAAAATCTATCTCTTCGATCAGAATGGACTCGTCACATGCGGCTCGGAGAAGATCGAGGAGCAGGCCAAGACCTTTGCCAAGCCCATGGATCCGATCAAAGATCTCGTTGCCGCCGTGGAGCAACTAAAGCCAGCGATTCTCTTGGGCGCCACTGGCATTGGTGGACTCTTCACCGAGGAGGTGCTACGATCATTGGCCAAACATCAGGAGCGCCCAGCCGTGTTTGCCCTCTCGAATCCCACCAACAAGACCGAGTGCACTGCCGAGCAGGCCTACACCTTTACAGAGGTGATAATTCCGAAGTTTTTCGCCCTTTGTGCTACATTTGAATTTTCCTCCCTAGGGTCGCGTCTTGTATTGTTCGGGTTCACCGTTTCCGCCTGTGGTGTTCAATGGCAAACGTTTCACCCCGGCACAGGCCAACAATTGCCTGGTGTTCCCTGGCATTGCCTTGGGTGCGATTTGCGCTCGTGCCCGCTTCCTGCCGGAAGACCTCTACGCTGAGGTGGCTGCCACGCTGGCCAAGAGCACATCGGAGGAGCGTCTGGCCGCTGGCAGCCTCTATCCCGCCATTAGGGAGGCACACAGTTTGGCCTTGGATGTGGGTGTGGCCGTGGCCAATTATCTCTTTGAAAATGGTACGATTCTATCTTTCATTTCGATTGGTTTTGATGACTCCTTTGGGGTTCTTTGCAGGCCTGTCAAATATCTATCCCGTGCCCAAGGATGTGTGCGAATTCATACAGAAAACTCAGTACAGGCTGGAGTACCAGAGCGCTCTGCCGCCCACCTGGCCGTATCCTGATTTCCCGGCATGCCGTGGCAAAGATTGCAAAGCGAAGAATATTTTGTAATTAGATACAAAGCACACACACAGATACACTACACACACACACACACATACACTCAGCTACATGTATCTGGTGTCTCTTAGGAGGAGGAGGAGGAGTATGGCGGTAAATGCTCAACATTTTAACGTTATTATTGTCCTGTCAACGAGGGACATTGACATGCTGCCTCCACGACTGGTGTGTGTTTTGTGTGTGTGTGTGTGTATGCGCGTGCGTATCTCTGTGTGTATCCTGCTGATTTGCATATAAAATAGGACGAAATGTCTGCTGCTCACCAAAAATGTCAATCAATTTCTTTCTTTTCTGCTCTGCTCTGCTCTGCTGTGCTCTTCTCACGCTTTGCCTTTTGCCATACCCTGCAGGGGTATAGGGTATGCTGTATCCAACAGGCATGAGGTGGGGATATAAACTAGCTGCCATTTGGCACTCAATCGATTTGCGTTTCAACTTCAAGAGAATTCTTCAGTTAAATGCCAAGTACAGGGTAGCTTTTGGTAGTAGTAAATTCTATATTTCTTTCTTGTTTAAACGCTCCACAAACACACACACACACACACTCAAAAGAGGGAGGGAGTGGACGTGCATGCATTAAAAAGCAATTGGTGTTAAAAGAGCAGTCAGGCGGCAGTCGCACGTTGTCTGCCCCTGACTCTGCGTCTGCCCCTGGCCATGGTCTGCCTGCCTGCCTGCCTGCCTGCCTGCCTGTCTATCAGTTTGGCATTGGCATGTGGCTGCTCCACTGCTGGCTGCTCCTCTGCTCCCTACATCCCGCACACAGAAACTTGCCACGATGTTGATGTTGTCGCTGTGGAGACATCTCCAACCTCGCCAAAGATGGGGGAGCATAAAAAAAGGCAAGGCCAAAATGTGAAATCATTTTCTTCAACTGGCAGCTGTCAAAATATTTGCTCTCTGTCAATGTGCGTCGTGTCCCTTGTGTGTGTGTGCGTGTGTCTGTGTGTCCTTCTCTCGTGGCCTAGCAATGCTTGGAAATTCCATTTTAATATTCATTACTTCACACTTTAATACAAGTAGAGTCCGCACACATTTGACTGCTCCACCAATCAATATCCAGTCGGCAAGTGGAAGTGGAAGAATCTTTAAGTGGCAGAGTGGGAGCCAAAACAGATCTCGAAGCGCGGCTCTCTCTTTCGTTACGGTTAGCTTGGCTTATAGAATTTAATTGGCCATAAAAATGTATGCGGCTTGTTGAACGTGTCTAAATCGTAAATTTCCCCGGCTGTGGGGTGGCTTTGCCTCCCTCCCTCCCCCTGGCATCGATTTACGCCCCACAATGGGGCTCTAAATTTAAATGCCAGCGGCAAAGGTTAAGGGTTTCTTTTTTTTCCACTAGATTATATGATGCGTCAGCATATAAATTATAGCCCAGATAAACCAAATAAAAGAGCAGCTAAACAGGCTCCGCCCTACACCCTCCCCGCCCTCAAGTTCCCTCAGGTTTTTTTGCTGGCTCTTCTGTAGGTTTTTTTTCGGATAATTGTTGATCTTGACTTCATATTTGCAGGGCTTTCCACAGCCTCGCTTGCTTGGTCTTTCTTGCCTCCTTTCTCAGTTATCAATCTGGCCAAGCCTAAGCCTTAAATAGGCCACATTTGAGGCAGAGAGAGAGAGAGAGAGAGAGAGAGAGAGAGGCTGAGGCCAAAGGGCAAAGCTCACTTGGCTGTGTACAGTCGATAAGTAGCCTCAATAAACACAAAAGTCTACTTAGGCTTGCTGCTGCTGTGCTGCTTTTCTACTTTCCACCAAGGAAAAGCCGACCGCTACTTCATATTTTTGAAGATTTTCATTTATCTGCTGAGAGAGATAAAACAGGCCACAGAGCGGCAGGCCAGAGGCCAGCTGCAGAGCAACAAAAAAAAGAAAAAGAAAAAAGAAACACTGAACTGAAGGCCAGAAAGCAAGTAGCACTTAGATCCATTTAGGCGATTTTTTCAAGCATTAAATTTGCGTTTACGTTACGTATACTTAACTTCCAATGGCAACGACTGAGCTGGCAGACGGCCAGCAGCAGGGAGGGGGCAGGCTGAGGCAGGTAAATGAAAAATATTCCCTCTTTTTCGTGGAAGCAAATGGATTTTACATCATTTGTCTTAGCCAGCGCAAGAGCAAGGCTGAGGCTGCTCTGTTTCCTCCCCCACACACACCTACCTGGCTGTCCTGTTCCTCCATATGGTCACAGTTTTTGGACCAACTTTTCTCTGGCACTCGCCGCTCCATATGGAGATTCCTCCCCCGACCATCTATCGCACAGTCAACAGTTTTGTTTTGCTGCGTCCTCTCCATTGTGTTGTGTCTTCTGTGTGTGTTTGTGTGTGTGTGTATTTTGCGGCCATGTAAATGCCTCCCCACACCACCCACTCGCTGCTGTTGTTTGTGGAGAAATTGTTCTTATCTCCACTTTGCATGCCACTCTGTGTTTTTCCTCTTCCTTGCCTCTTCCTCTGCCTTCCCTGACGTTACGTTTCGTTTCGTTTCGCTTCTTTGCTTCTTTTTTTTCCAGACGAACTGAGTCAGCACTTAATTTTTATTTGATTCTCGTCTCAGTTGCGGTTCAGCTGCTTGACTTGCCACTCCGCTGCTGTGGCAGGAGAGACGGCTGAGCCGAGGAGCTCTGGAGTCAGGCAGTTCTCGGAGTAGTCCTGGCAGTCGAGAGACAAGCGTGCCAGCGAGAGAGTGCGTAATTTTTTATGGCGTTAATTTAACAATGATTGGCTTTGCAGCAGCCACAGCAAAGGAAACTGCCAGGGCAGTGGAATTTTATTAAGACAAATGCCAGGACACTTCACTTCTCCAAGCGGAGGGTCAATCCAGCGCTTTGAGATGAAAGCTAGACAGGTATGCCTATGCCCATTGAAGATAAAGCAAAGCCTTGTGCAATTCCTTTGCTCATTCTTGGATTCTACTCTTAAATTTACCAGAAATAAAGTAGATCTAGTCCCTTCCCTTATATGCATTCGGATTTGCATTAGCTTTGGGGAAGAAGTCTGGTCGCAGGGCCCAGGCCGCCATGCATCAAGCTTATCTGCGCTCCTGCAGTAGTCGCTCTGTCGCACAAATCTTTAGCCATTTACCAATGTCCTGGCCTGGCCTGGCCCCTGGTAGGGCTTGGCTTGTACCTGCATATAAATATGTGTTCGATATTTAACAGCTTCCAGTTGAATGCGCCTGCCAGGGCTGGCTAGGAGATGTAGTTGGAGGCGGCATGTCTGCTTCGACATATGCAAAGCGTGTGCCTTTGGCGTTGGGAGATGGGCTTAAATTTGGCTTTGGCTTCGGGGGCAAGTTTGCTCAGTGCTGCGCGGCGGCATTGTGTATATTCTGTTGCTTCTGTTCGTGTTCATGGGGCAGTGCAAATAGCTGCCGCTGTCGCTACCACAGCCGCTGTCCCTGCTGTCCCTGCTGCTGCTGCTCTTCACAGTAAAAGTCCAATAAGGTAAACGGTAAACAGGATGCCACGTTCCAGTGTGACTGTTGGTTGTGCCTGTGTTTGTGTGTGTGTGTAAGCACCTGGCATTTGTGTCGAGCACGTTCGTACCTTATGTGGGATTTAGTTTTTAGACTTCATTTTACTGCGCTGCGCTTTTGGTTTCATCTCCCTCTTTCTTTCTCTCTTTTTCCTTTTCTGTGCTCTTCTTTATTCCATTTTATGATGGCAGTTCCATAAAATGTAGGGAAAAAGAAACAAAGAGAGAGAGAGACACCGAAAATTTGCATACCCTTGCAGCTCGCACCAGATTGTAGATTAAAGAACCTGCGCTGACTTGACTGCAGTGCAAACACATTGTGGGAAGCATATCAGCCCGCTCGCTGCAAGGGTATCCTACAGAGAGGTGCTAGGATAGGAGTAGGCAGCAGCGACACAGAAATGTATGGTAAAAATAAAGCCATAGACATGGCTGCCACTGCCACTTGAGTTCCATGCATGTAGGTTCAGTCAGCCACACACACACACACACACACAGACACAGATGCGGGGCACAGCTACAAGAGGACACAGACACAGACACAGATACACCGACAGGAAAGCTAGACAATGCCGTAATCTAAAAACACAAACGTGCAATTCTCTGCACACTGTAAATGTGGTTACACACACACACACACACACACTGAAAGCTCTGCCGTCGCCCAACTCCCGACACGAAACGGCGTGGGAATATATTACAAGTTGGTTTACAAGAGAAGTATGTCAGTGGCTGTCCTAGGGAGAGAGAGAGAAGGAGTGCAAGCGGAAGCCATGGACTAACTTTAAGCACTCGACGAGCAACAATTTTTAAAGAGGGCTCACAGGGCGCCACTTGGATCTGGCTGAGACTGGCCCTAATCCCAGAACTGGTCCAAGTTAGCGGCGGAGAGGAAGCTGCTTCGCCCAATTGAGGGCAAGATGAACATAATTCAGCGGGCGGAAGTTGTACGACTTCATCGGGAAAGAGCTAGCTTGGAGTCTTCGAAAAGGATGCCAATGATTGTTGCAACTGCAGCAAGAGGAAACATTAGCAAGTCTAGACACCTACGTCATGCGTCAGCAGCAGCAGCAGCAGCAGCAGCAGCAGCAGCAACAGCAAAAATAGCCGAAAAAACGTGCCGGAGCTGCAGTTGGAGATGCTGGAGAATGCCAGTGAAAAGCCAAGAAGAAACGAAGAAAAAATGAGACGTCAAGCAGACGATGAAGTCGACGTGGTCTGACAGCCAGACAGCCATTGCAAGGAACTCTCGCTCCACTCTCTCTGTCTCTGTTTAACTCTGAGAAGGAGCACAGGTCCCACAGGAGCATGTCTAACAGGAGCATTTGAACCTTTTGGCTTGTTTAATATGCTGAAAAATACGCCCGAATTCGCTGTTTCCGCTGCCAGAGCAGCCATGAAAGGAAAGCGCTTGGAATGCATTTTCAAGTATTACATTTCCATTTGAATGTTACGACACATGTTTGTGCGGCAAGAAAACCACTCAAAGGAAAGGATGAAACTACAGAAAGAGAAGAGTGGACGGATGTTTTATTCAGGGAATTTACATAAAATTCATTTTGCGATTTTAATTACATGGCATAATTGGAATTCAATATCGAAAGTGCGTTGGCGGTGACGCCACACACGATGCACCTGAAATTATATTAGATCTTTGCCCAAGGGCCAAATGCCAC